AACTACATAGTAAAAATCAGTTTTGACCTTATTTCAACCCTATTTCAACCAGATCTGCAAATGGTTGAAATAGTTTCGACTTCATGTATAATGATATCAAGATAATTGGAAATGACAACCAGCAAAACGTTTTTCAACTAAAGTAAAATTGAGGCATCGCACTTTTGCCCAAACATTCCATATTAGTTTGTAAGAAAATTGCACTGGGAATTGAATATTAGCGAAGCTAGTTCCACTAATATTGTATTGTCAAGTAAGGAGTGTATGAAAAATAGTATAATGAATAAGTTGGAATAAGCAGAGCTTAGTATTAAGATATATAATTACCTTTATTTTATTTTATGACAAAAAAAAATCAGTAATACATGTTGTAAATGTGAATGAGCAAAGCCCAGAGTCTTTGACTCATAAAAAATATTATCTCTCATAAATGAGAATATGAATTTCATCTACCATAAGTCATTCAATGTTGAAATATTGCGAAATATGATTTTTCAAATACATAAATTTTTTATACCTTGACCAAGATCATTAATGCAGAGATCAAAATTATCAAAGGGAACCTTATACTTAATCCTATTTTTGAGTTCAGCAACCATTTCATTTGGAGTGGAGATATTAATCAAGTAATCACAGTGAACACAATAATTAATAGTATTATTGCTCATTTTTGTTACCTAAATGTAAATACACAAAGTAAATTTCAACTATGATTAACACATAATAACAATAACACTACTATTGATGAAATAAATTGTGAATATGTTAAACAAAATTTTCTCAAAAAAATATAAAAGCATGATAGTAGTCATCAGGAAAATGCTTCTGAAATTATACATAGATCCTACATGTAAACAGCATATAAACATCATGTCATGGATTTGTATATGATTGACATATGTGTGGGTGACTTTTGCATAATGTGATTTGCATATTATATGAATAATTCTTACGTATTACAAGTATAAATAGTATCTGTGAATTAATTCAATATTGTGCATATAATTCTCATATATATATTCTCCCATGTATGATTTGTGTATTATACATATAGTTCTTATGTATTATAAGTATAATAAATTATATCAGTATCATACATATAAATTACATATATTTTTAGGATTCAAAATAATAATAGTAATGTAAATATTTAAACCTTGTGTTTATTTATTTAATTGGGAAAATTGATTTTCAAAAAACGCTTACAATTGTAGGATTAAATGAACATATGTTTGATCATTGTACATATAATTTGCATTCAAATTAAGATTGAGTAATATAAATCATGTTAATTGTGTTAGTGGTAGTAAACAAATAAATAAATAATTAATAATTGGAGAAAATAAATTCAAAATTCTCATCATGTTTGACATTAGTATAAATTCAAATTTCTAAAATATACTGTATGTATATGTTAAAAATAAATAAATAAATAATTATTTATTTATAATTGTAATAAATTTTTTACCAACATTGACATTAATATGTTAAAAAATAAATGCAAATAAATAAATAAAGAAAAATAAATATAAATCATTGTTAATAAATAAATAAATAGTTAGAAAATAAGTTCAAATTTCTTGCCATGCTGACATTAGTATATGTTTAAAAAATAAATGATTAGTAGATAAATAAATAGATTGAGAAAAATTTGAAATAAATCATTAGTATGTGAATGACATGGAATGAAATAGTTTTGTGTTGATAAATAAATAATTGGTTATAATTGGAGAAAATAAATTCAAATTTCTCCCCATGTTGACACTAATATATTCATCAAGATATATGTTAAAAAAATAATAAAAAAATAATTATAATTGGAGAAAATAAATTCAAATTTCTTACCAATGTTGATATTAATGTGGTATTCATTAATTTCATGAATAGTTACTGGCCAAAAAATGCAAAAATCAATGTTTCTCTATTCAGGTCCAGGAACTGGTAAAACAATGCTTACATGGTTCCCCCCAAGAAATGGCTCTTGGCCCAAAATTACTCATAAAACTACTAATGAAAGAATTATTACTGGGCAATTTAATAAAGAATTGGAAGGTAAAGTCTTACTTGTTCTTGGAGAAATGTCTAACTCAAAGTCTGGTGACTGGGTAGCATTTGCAAATCAACTTAATTGCCGATCCTTTTATAAACGGCAGAAAAATACTATTAAAATTTTGGGTAAAAATTTGACGATCTACTATGT